GTAATGTCTGAAGGTAGACATATTGAACATTTACTATGATTTCTACATGTTGTGTGTTTTGTTATTAATAAATTAGTTTTGTTTATTACCCTTTAATCGTTTAATGCAGGTGCTAACTACAAAATAACAATAAATCCAGTTCGCATTTATGACGATGATGATGGTTTATTTTGGGCAAAAAACCCAAGAGACATTTTTTGTTTAGAATGAAACAGGCTATCGGAAATAAATTTTTAAATGGTAAACAAATAATAAGTCAAAAAGTTACATTGGAAATACATTTTAAGGGTAAACCAAATAAATCACTGGCTAAGTGTCTTTTTGGTAGTACAAAACGTCAGGTTAATTCCAATTATTTTAATTTTTCAGTGCTTGTGAAAAAAATTGTTATACAAATTTTATGTCCCCCTTTAAGGGGCTGTATCTTAACAAGGGATGCTACAATGAAGTTTATTTATATGAAAGATACCATCTTTTTTTCGATGAGGAATCACCTCCTTAAATGTTTTACACTTATTCAGTTACACCCTGTATTTTCAAATATAAATAGAATTCAGTCAATTTAAGACTCATATATCATCAATTTCAAATTGCTATTTTCGTTCCTGTCTATTTTCCTTGTTTCAAAATTATACAAATCATAAAAACATACATTTGTTGTCTTTAAGAAAATTACTGTCAACAGACTACCCGAACGTGGTTCTACCGTGAAGATGTGAGAGTCGAGATGACGGACGGAGAGGTTGATGGTGAAAGGTATAATGAAGAACAAGAGGTATATATTAGTAGCACAGAGTTAGAGACTCACCTCCCTGGTCATCTAAAGCGACCAAGGTGCGGATTCCAGCCTCCTTACTCTACAGCAGCACAAAACAAGTGTTAAATGTCATGTTAGTTTCATGTGAGTGATGCACGCCCGAAATCTTTGAGCAGTTAGTTAGGCGAGTTTTAGTTGATATGTCGGATTTTAGTACAGTAGAGGTTAGGTGTCAGTAGGCCACATCAGTATTTGACAAAGTTCAAACTGATTCTATAAAACAAAAATGTCCGATGATTTTTCATCGACACCGGCATTTCCAAGAAATATCTTAAGAAATTTCGATTAAGTAAAGATAATCATTCGTCAAAGTAATATTTGAAAACTTCATTAAAAAAGTCACCAATGAGCTGAAAGTATATTTCTGAATAGGAAAATGATTACTCACTCACCGAATTGATATCTGATTCACTATGATCAGTTGAGTGAGAACTACAGAGGAAATTCCTTAAATGATGAAATATTGACAGGCGACAGTAATACATACATTCTACATGCTATATTCGACGATCTTACAATTGTCCACTTGGCAAGAGTGAATGTGTCCCATAAAACTTCAACATTTCTTCATTCAAGTCATTTTCCTCTCTCTGAAATACCATTACAACATTTTCAAAATATCTCTGAAGCTGTTCAACTTGATATTTTTTACTTCAGTAGCAGTATTTTTTCATCCTGATAATCATGATAGCTGGGATTTTTATTGAACACAGTAACTGAACTTCACTGTATTTCAAGCGGAAATTTACGCTATTGAATTGTGTGAGGAGAGATTGGAAGAATCCAACTTCATACACAAGTCAATAGAAATATTCTCGGACAGTCACGCGGCGTTGGAAACTCTTGGCTCCTACCAAGCAACCTCTAAATTGGTAGCAAATTGCCAAAAACCACTCTCCTCGATAGGAAGACTTAACATATTGTCTCTGGTCTGGATTCCTGACCATACTGGCCTGGAAGGCAATGAGGCTGCTGAGTCTCTTGCAAAGGAGGGTGCTGCAAGCAGCTTCATCGGACCAGAACCTGTCATTGGAATCGCTTTAGGCTTTGTCAAACAAAGATTGAACACCTGGATAGCAAGAAGATTTATGGACTTCTGGCAGAATCTTCCAGGATTGGCTCACTCCAAGGCGTTTATTCACCCTTCGAAGCTTGAAACAGTCATTTGGAAAATGATGAAACAGCAGAGCACATACTTTGTGCCTGCCCCGCTGGGGACAGGATTCGGTTTTTAGAGTTCGGCAGAGCCGTACTCTTACCATTTGACCTGAAAGACCACTCACCAAACTAATCGGCTTCGTTAAGAAGCTGGGTTTATTTGGTCAAGTATGAATAGGTGTGAGCCACAATAAACCCTTGCGGGTTGCGGTGGAGGGTCGAATAGACCCACTCACTTTGGATGTAACCTAACATAAACTAATTAAACTTCACGTAGCAAGCTAATTCTGAATCTCGGAGTTCTCATCAGGAATGGGGTACCGCAAGGTCGGGTTTACTCGGATCTTCCATTCGAGGTACCAGCGCTCGAGGTCGTCCAATGCACGTTGCATGTAGACGACGCCGAGCTCCCGCCCCATGGAAGACGAGAGTAGAGCCGTGTCATCGGCGTACAGGGATATCTTCACTCTATCGGACCTAGGCAGGTCGCTTGTATAGAGCGAATACAGCGTCGGAGAGAGGCTTCGAAGCTTGATACCAAACAGTCATTTGGAAAATGATGAAACAGCAGAACACATACTTGTGCCTGCCCCGCTGGGGACAGGATCCGGTTTTTAGAGTTTGGCAGAGCCGTACTCTTACCATTTGACCTGAAATACCACTCACCAAACAAACTAATTGGCTTCGTGAAGAAGCTGGGTTTATTTGGTCAAGTGTGAATACGTGTGAACCACAATAAACCCTTGCGGGTTGCGGTGGAGGGTCGAATAGACCCACTCACTTTGGATCTAACCTAACATAAACTAATTAAACTTCACGTAGCAAGCTAATTCTGAATCTCGGAGTTCTCATCAGGAATGGGGTACCGCAAGGGGCCTTAACAATAATGAAGTTTTATAAGATATCAGATCATCGTAATGTTTTTCTGCATCCTGATTAGCACTAATGGTTGTGGAATGTTGTGGAATGTTGATCTTTTTCTGTTTCAAAATTCAAATATGCCAAAACTAATTACGTTGTATATCATATCGGAGTTTATGGCTGTAGACTTGGAAATAGTGTTATGGATATGATCATTTTAAGTCATGACTGTTCAAGTGATCAAATGTTCAACAAGGACGAGTATAATTTAAATTCGGAACTCTACATTTACTTTCGCATTTTTGCTAAATGGATCTGGATATTGTTTATTCTGCTATTAGGTTGTTTCAAAAGGTTTATCCGTTTAGTGTAATGTGTTTCATGTTTCAATAAATAGTTATTCTACTATGTCGCGGTAGAGAATTTTTCAATCTATATATACAGGCCGTTTCTTTTATCATGTGGTAACATATACGAAAACGATAAAATGGGAAAAAAGGTAACTGTCATCGGGAACAACTCAATGGCCAAAGAAAATTTTCGGGGACTCTCGGCCTTCTCGAGTTATACGGGGAAAACCATAAATGTTGTTTTTGGTTTTTTTCGAATGGAATTGTTATTTCGGAGAATATAAAAAAATGGAAAAGAAAATGTTATTGAATTCGAAGTGTACTATGACGATGTAATAATAAATATTCAATAAAAAGTTTCGTGTCAACATGACCATCATCAACTTTTTTTTTTAAACGGACCTGTCTTTTTTATTACAGATATTGATAAAGCAATTAATTCACAATCCAAGGGTATATCACATTTGATATTTTTATAGCGTTTCATTTGAAATAACTACCATCATCAGTGACAACAATTTTAAATTACGGTCCTGTCGTTACTTCCTTTGTAAATTTTTTCGATTTCTTCAATGAATTCGACAGGTAGGTACCATAACACAATATTTTTTTTAAATTTTCAATCCTGGTAGTAACGAAAATATCAGTTTTTGGTCAAAATTCGATTGTTGTATGATTTGGTATGATCAAATAGCATCTCAATTCATTTACCATCTTAAACGCGTAGGCTTTGCTTGGTTTCTATGGCAGGAAAAATGAATGCGTTGTTGATATCTGTTGAGAACTGTCAGTCGTTTATCAACATATCAAAGATGTATTCAAATGATGAAAGGACATATATGCTATTTAGTTAGGCAAAATCAACAAGGAATATGTATGTTGAGCTATACCCGAACCGTCGTATTCTGAACATCCAAATGTTTAGACGATTGGAAAGAAATTTGAGGGACTATGGTGTATTTGACAGAAAGAAACAAGAAAATGTGTGGTTACTGGAAATGTGATTAATCAAATAAATATTAATGGTAAGCAAATATTACCACATAAAAATTTACATAGTGAAAACATATTTTTTTTTTCTACAATTTAGGATTGGTCAGTTACAAAAAGTATGCTAATCAAGATTGTTCTTTACGAGAAATGGTCCACGAGATGGGAATTTTGAAAAAGAACAGATATAAATGCTACAGGATACGCAAAGTTCATCATCTCAATGGAAGGGATTACGAAGTACGATTTGCGAAGTGGTTAGGTTAGGTTAGGTTAGGTGCATTTACTCAAATGACGGTTGTTTCGCTTAAATTGAATAGGTATTTATTGATATATTACAGTTTGAAGTCGACTCATAAAAACGGAGAAAAATTTTGAAACAACCTTATAGTATTGATATAAAGTCAAATGCATGTCATTTGCATGTGTTCTGAAATGCCTTCAACATGATTGGTCGTCAGGATAACCTTCAATCTTGTAGCCATAGGCCGAGTAATGAGTGTACCAAGAGGTTCAACTTCTTCAACACAGTCTTGTTGAGTATTAATGAAGGCAACACACAGATCAACCATGACATTATTTCACTTGTTTCAAGTATGCCTAAAAGTTTTACAACTGCATTTCTCGTATTTTGTAAAATGTATATCATAAAATCGAATTAATTTGTTGAAAAGTTTCAGAGATATTAAATTGCCACACTTATCAATTGATGCAATTGTATCGACGAAATTGGTAATGACGCCTGTATTTTTAAAAGAAAATATTGAAAGCACAGTATTTGTGGCGATATGGATAGTTTTCATCATTCAGTAGTCAAGATTTGGTTCATCACCTCAAATTTTTGAACGAACCACGTAAGTATCTTCTTTCATAGGATGCAATTAAAAAATATTTAGAACAGTAAAGTTTCAAAGCAAACTTTTAATTCTTGTAAGTGGTTTGTTGTTTTTTCAACTTTTAGACATGTAGATACACTAAAACCTGTGAATTATTTTTTTCTATAAATCAAAATAAAATACACTCAGCTTCGTGCCAGTTTTGCGATAGACTAATATTTTGTTTATCGTTGCCGTTGATAATATGTACTACCTCCAAACAAAAATTTTCGTATATAAATACGTTGAAAGAGAATCATCATACTACATTTTTACTATCATCAGCTTGTTAAGTGAATAATTTTCATTCTCATATACAATCCTTATTTATTGATAACTTCGTATCTGAAGTACACTTTGGTCAAGCCAACTTTTCAGCTCTGATATTCCAAAAGCGCCGACTTTTATGACGTATATTTATGAACGATTTGATGTGTTAGTCTCCTCTAATTTTATAGGCAGCGAACCACCAAATAACTGGAAATGTTTAAAAGAATTGAAAACGAGGTGGAATTGGTTTCCTACTTTTTTCAGCCAAAACAAATCGTCTATTTTGAAAACTCAAACATAAAAGTAGTCAGTTCATAAACTTAATCGTAATAGAAAAATCTACATTATAAAATGAATGAACTTTGAACTTGAAATTGTTGAGATCGCTCAGTGACACTAGACTTTTGGATGCGTTCGAAAGTACTTGAAGCAATGCGTATGAGAGCTGTGAACAGCCACACAATTTCCATTCCAAACAGCCTGTTATTATTTTATTCATTAAAGAACCTATTCAAATTAGTGAGAAACTTCGAACA